ATAAATCTTCTTGTAGAGATACAGATACATCCCACTTTTTCCTATTTCTCCAGCGAACTCTTGGTAATATACTGTTCACATCTCTCATCAGCCAATTAAATGTTCTTGCCCAGAATCTGTTCCCTTATAAAAGAAAAGAGGAAGAGAAGATTGTAAATAGCACGCAGAGCTGTTCTCAACTCAGAGTCCACAGGATTTTTATTTTTGTGGATCAGATTTTGTATAAGAGTTTGCTTCAAGATACTTGCTAGCCCTTCCTCATTAGTCAGTCAGAACAAGTGTTAAAATACATCCTTTGATTGCTATCAGTGTAGTTGGATTTTAGCTGAACTGAAGGCAGGGAATAAAACATACTGTTAATTGCTGTCATTGCAACTTTTATATTGTAACCAGATGGGCATGGAAACAAAGGGAGCCAGGAGGCACAAACAATCAGAAAGCAGAGTACCCTGATTTAGAACTATAATCCTGAGGTTCAGATCACTTTACTGGTATGAAGAGCAAAAGCAAACACGCCACAATTAATAATCAGAGAAAAGATATTGTGTGCATATGTGTACATGTGTGTGTATGTTAGAGAAAGAGAGGCAGAGATAGAGCAAGAACACACATTTGCTAAGGGGATTGTGACAGTGAGCAGCTGATGCATTTATGCAGGCATTTCTGGCCCCTATAACAAAGTACTGTACAGCAAAGTGATGGAAGTCAAAACGTCAGTGTGGGAAAGAATGGCCTGATCCTGGAAGGGAAGCAAACATTTACAAAGACACATTAGCGATGTTGTAATTACTTCCTCCCAACAATCCAACAATTCATGATTAGCCCCTTTGTGCAGATGACTAAAGTGAGGCTCAGAGAAATGAGATGATCTGCCCAAGGTTATACAATTAATAAAACTTCCTTGACTCAATCTCATGGGCTAGCCACATCCCAGAAGTGTTTGCAGGGTCCTCACTATTCATCAACAGCTCTGAATGTCAATAGAGAGCCAGGCTGGGGGTGCAAAGGGGGCCAACATGGATGCAAGCTCCCCCTGCACATCTCTCCCTACCAGCAAATGGTCCACCATGCTCTCTTCAGAGTCCACAGGGCCAAGGCTCAGCCATGCTACCTCAGCCCAGCCATCTGGCAGAAGAAAGCAAGAGGCCTGCAGGCACTTTCTCCCTAGTCAGCCTCTGCAGCCTAATCCGCTCTGTCCTAATGCTGGGAGGGAGGCCCTCCCTTCCGCCCCCACCTCCAGCCTTGCCACTGAGGAGAGCAGCACAGCTGGAAAAATAGATAGGTCTTTCTAACCCTCTCATGCGTGTGCCGTGGGGCCAGGTAGCTCTATAAATATGGTAATGGCTTCTCAAGCATGCCTGGACTGGAAATGAGATGGAGAGGCTAGAGAAAGGCTGTTTCCACCGATAACCACTGTGGCAGCCTTGCCAGAGGAGAGAGAGAGACTCTGAGCTTCAGGTCAAATTAACTCTCCCCCCAGCCTTGAGTAGCTGCCCTCTCCTTCTCCTCCTCCCTACCCTATTAATCGCCTGTACCCACCTGTTCTCTGATTACATTGATGACATCCATGGAGGGAAGACAGGAAGCAGCAGCTCGTGTTTAGTCTATTACCAAGAGGCCCAGACTTGTGATTAAAAAAAATACACCAGCAACAACACAGCTACATTGATGTGTACAATAGAGAACCAGCTTGACACTTCACTGCTGCGGTCCTACTGAGAAAATGACAGCTGCAATAAAAAGCCATGCACCTGCTCCGCCTAAACAGCCACTTGCTCCAGGTTGCTCTATCTGTAACCAGCTTTTCACCAGTTTTCCCTTTATCTAGAGTCTGGACAGCCCCAGAATCCCCAAATGCCATGTAAATATAATCTGTGGAAAATGGGAACCCGGATTCTAGAGAGACTGTAGACAGTCTTCACACTGGTCTAAACCTCGGTCTCCTTTTTCCTGTCAGATGACGTGATAATGCCTTACTTCGGGGGGTTACATGATCACGTCCGATTTGCAGTTGTTATCTCTCCTCCCTGAAAGGCTCTTTCTCATTCTTGCTCGCGTGACTGTTTTCTCTCTCAGGTAACAGCTTGTCAGAAAAATGCTTTTTGTTTGTTTGCTTTTGCAGTACTGGGCCTTCCCCCTGAGGTACTCACCCAGCCCTTTTTATCCTTTCTTTTGAGATGGAGTGTCTTTAAGTGGCTCAATGGGCCAGGCTGGTCTCAAATTTGTGATCCTCCTGACTCTACCTCCCAGGGTACTGAGACTGCAGGTGTGTGCCACTCTGCCTGGCTCACAGTGATGCCTCAACCTCATCCCAAACTGAGTTTTAATGGGTAAAACACTAACTCTGACGCAAATGTAATAGTATGCTAATCGAATGTCATTTAACTCATTAATAAGTGATGAAATTGAGAAGGTGTTACACGTCAGGCCAAAGGGAAATTTAAGGAGTAGAAACCTGTGTAGGAACTCAGCAGTGTGGAAATGAATGTACTAACATATGCAAAGCCTTGCTTCTAAATGGGAAGTCAGGAAGTAAGGGCCAGAGGAAATTAAGAGTGTCTCTAAGGGAAAAACTTCGCCTCTATGGACTGGGGTTGTCTGCATTGCTCTCAGTTTTCGTCAACACTAAGAGCTGTTTCACACCTCAAAGACAGTGAAAAGTGGTGATCACTATAGAATCATGTAGCAAGGTTCCACTAGAAGTTGTCCAGAGTTCCTTAGGAATCTGGTATTCATTTTTTTTTTTTTAGCCAATTCAAAGTTTTCTATTTTTCTTACACTTTTTTTCTGAGAAAACACACGGATGAAAAGAAAACTAATTATATGGGAACACACTCATTAAAATAGCTTAAAATTTTGCAGTACAGGACTCACCTCTGTTATTAACAAATGAATTAACATGCTATTGCAATGTTTGGAAGGAATTATATAGAACAAAAATATTTCAGAATGTCTGCAGTGACTATAATGTGAGATAAAAATATCTGTCATTTCTGTGACAACTCACAGTTATTGCTCAAACCAGCATAATTTGTTACATTTATAATGGAAAGAAGGACATTTCATATAGAAACTGGTAAAAATAAAGGAGCATTTTTCCCCATTTAAATTCCTGGATCTTCACAGTCTAAAGGAATTCATATTATGAACCTCAGAGATGAATAAAGAATTCTTTCTAACTTCTAATGTTAAGATTAGAAAGAAAATGAAAACCAATGACTTGAACTAAAAGAGGAAGAAAGATGAGAAGTGAAACCAACTGAGCGAGTTACGTATTCCTGAGGAATGTGTCCCTCGCTCTTTCATGCCCAGCAGTAGCCAAGAAATTAGAGAGCCCAACATAGGTTTAAGGACTGAAAAACAGATGCTAAGCCTGCTCCTATTTCATGGGCTGAAGTTTACAAGACCCCAGAATCTTGGGCACAAAGAAATAAGACCATTTTAAGCTACCAAAAAAATCGAAATTGTATTATTTTAGCGAGTCACACTGATGAGGTATGAAGAGATGATCAAGTCAGAGAGGTCCATGATTAAAAGAAATGGGGGATTCCACAGTGTCCTGGTAAACTCCCATTATGCAGTAGGCTGTTGGCTTAAAGTAGAAATTGCATTAAATTATAAGAAGGAAAAAATGGTTTACATCTTACACACTCACTTCAGTGGAATAAATACTGTTATTCAAATCTAAGTCTTCCTCCTCATCCCACCTCCACTTCATTAATCAAAAGTCCTTCCTCTGGGATTCAAGGGCCTTCATGTTCGGGCTCAGCGCAGTCTCCTAGGCTCTCTTCTCGCCTTTTCCATGCACGCCCCGTCAAGCCCACTGTTTCACAAGCCACTTCGCTCTCGGACACCTCCAAGGTTTAAAACGCACCATCCTCTCAGCCTCCAGCAACACCCCAACTTATTATCAACAGTTTCATCTTTACCCTGAACAAGATTTCATTTTCCTTGAGAAATATCATTTTCTCTGACTCAGAATTCTTTTTCCACCCTCCTCCTCCAGTCTACTGAATTCCCATTTATCCTTCATGACTGCACTTCTCCAGCCTAACATAGGTTTAGTATCTGAAAACTCACAGTAGGCCTGACCCTATGGCTTAGATAAGAAGGCAGAAAACTTCTTTTGTGAAACTGTCCAGTGCCCCTACCCCCAGGTATTTCTCCCATCTCTGGACCCCAAAACAAACACAACCCTCCGTACCTATAGGTTCCACATCTGTGAATTCAATCAACATGGATCAAAAATACTTGAACAAGCTTGTAGCTATTCTGAACGTGTGCAGATTTTTCTTATCGTTGCCCAAACAATATAGTATAACAACTATTTACATACCTCATATTAGGTATTATAAATAACCTACAGGTAATGTGATTTAAATTATAGGGGAGGATTTTGTATATTTTATATAAATACTACGCCATTTGTTGTGATGAGCTCGAGTGCTTAAGAGTTTTGGTTTGCTGAAGGCTCCTTTACAGTGAATGAAGGACAAGGATGGAGCCAAAGAGGAAGAGGAGGAGCACTTGGAGGAGAAGAGACACAATCATTTGTTTTACACTTATTCTGCACGAGGCATTGCATCAAGTACCAACATGATCAGGCCTCAGAACTATTAATCGACAGAGCTGAGATTTGAACATAGGCTATGACTCTAAGGCCCCACGCACTTGATGGGGACATGATAGTATCCCCTCTTTATAGTGCTTTTCTACTCTATTCATCTGTGTATCCATTGCCCTACTGTCTTAGTCACTGTCCTCATTGCTGGGACACAGCACTTAAAGAAAGAGTTCACTTTGGCTTACTTTTTAGTCCACAGTTGGTTGGCTTCAAGACAGGGCAGAATGACGGAGCTGTTCATGTCATGGCCATGGGTAAGCAGAGAGAGTGAAGGGGTCAGAGAGGAAGGGGAGTAAACCTTTCCAGGCCACGCCCCCAGTGACCTGCATCTTTTGACCAGCTTCACCTACCAATATTAACTTAGCTATTAACTCACCAGTGGACCAGTTCATTGGTGATTGTCACGCTTCACGATCCAGTCAGCTCCCCATAGACACCTGTGATCACATCAGGCTTTGGAGGCCATCTCAGTACAAACCATAACACTCTTAGCACTGAGAACAAGAACCGGTGCCTTTTATTGTGTTCCCTTAGTAACTGACAGCAAGCTTAACCAATCGGAGAACTTTTCAACAAAAACATCACAGAAGCACTCATGGATACGTGTTGGAGGATCAAGTTTTGGCTTAGCAGTTTGAGCAGCTCAGACATAGTCCCTGACCTTCTGTAATATATATATTACAGAATA